GGTAACATCAGTGCTGTATGTAACAATGATCTTGTTCTGTACTTTCCCATCTGTAAAATATACTGTGCCTTAATGTTGAGCAATTCCCATATATATTTTTCATGGTGTTCCATATAACTAGGTGATGCTGTTTAGAGGTATGAAATGGTGGGGGCAATTGTTGCTTTTTAAAGGCTGGAAATTCTTAAGGATAATAGCTGGACCCTTAGAATAAATATTTTGATACAAGTTGGAGATGCTGTCTATAGTTTATATGGTACAATTTTCCAGATTACATGTGGCTTCTTGTCCACAGGACATATTGGTCAAACCCAATGGAACTGTCCATGATTATCCTATTGTACATGCTGGGAGTGGGGCTCATAAACATTTTTATTGCTTTAAAATCTTCTATTTTAGGGTAGAAGATGTACACATTTCAAGAAGTGTGTGGGAGCAGCTACAGATGAGGTAGTAAATGAGGCTGAATGAAGTGATGAACAAACAGGGTCCTTGTCTCATAAACATTTAGAACATTGTGTACCGGGTTTGATTTTCATATGATGGTACATTTATCAGCAATACATTGCTTGATGTTTTAAAGTGAATGTGCATGTACTTTCTGTTGGAAATATTAAATATGAGGCAACTGAAAAGTTTTGTTGACAAAATGTGAGTGAAAGAAGCAGGAACAGAATTATGAGCACATTTACGAACCCTGGAAATATTTGTGAAGTGTCACCAATAACTTGATCAGATTTAGATTAAATATATGCTCAGGTGATTTAAACAATAGTGTATGAGCCAATGCAGAAATGTTTAGCTTCTTCATATTCAAAATATTTAATCCCAGCCAAGATTTTAATGCTTGCTTCTGTCTCCTTTATCCCCATGTTGCTTCTTTCTGTCCCCATGTTTTTCCTTCCTTCCTTCCTTCCTTCCTTCCTTCCTTCCTGCCCTTGTTTATTGTGTTCAAACAATGGTTCGCTTCCTTCCTTCCTTCCTTCCTTCCTTCCTTCCTTCCTTCCTTCCTTCCTCCCTCCCTCCCTTCTTGCGTTCATTTGTTTGTTCGTTCCTTCGTTCGTTCTTTCTTTCCTTCCTCTAAATCTTTCCTTAAGGAGAACCAAACCATATATTGGTGGTGTCACAGGGGTACGATCCACATTCAGCTGTACCATGACAACCCCCAGAATGAAGACTAATAGTCTAATGCAGTTTTTTTCCCTCTGGACACTCTCCACGTGGACTGGACTATAATCTACATAATACTTGATCAATATGGGTGTGCTGGCTGAGGACGGTGAGAGATGTGGGCAAACGATTCTGCCTTTATTGGCTGAGGGATTTGGGAAGCTTTAATTTCCTGTCCCTGCTGAAAGAAGCTGCAAAACATGGTGGCAGGGTGTTTAGCTTTCCCCACTCAATTCATTTTCAAAGTGAAGAGTCTAGCTGCCTGTAAAATAATATGCTCCCATCTGGCAGAAGACTACTAAAAATAATTATAATGATAATAAGCCCCTCTCTTTCTCTCTTTGCTATGACAGCAGGAAATGAGTGAAGAAAGCCCCTTCATAAGGTGAATTTTCAGATGTCAAAACATTTTAATTCAGCCATTCCATACAAGAGTGCCTTGCTGACATATTTATCCTCTCTTTGAGAAGTGGCTATTTTAAAATAATAACAAAGAGACACAAGCTAGCAAAATCATATATTCAAGTCTTAAGCAGATATTTTACATCCCTTTCTCTCTATATCTCTCCCCACCTTGGTCCAAAAAATTACTGTCAAAAGCAGCCTCAGTGTTCTGTTTAGGAAATGCAAGATGTTACAAGTCTACCTGGATATTAAGAATTCAGACTTGAAGGGATTTGATGTCAAGCCAGAGCTGTAGGCTTCCCACTGAGTCTTCCTACCTACATATCTACCTACCTACCTGCCTGCCTATCCGTCTGTCCATTCATTCAAATTTTATACCACCCATCTAGCAGACAGCTAATCTGGGTGATGTTCAACAAGAACAAAAATACAATTCATAAAAGGCAAATTCTAATATGCAAAAGCACAAGATTCAACAGTTCCTTCATAATAAAACAACTGATTAGTCAAAGTCATTTAAAAACTTCCCCTTAGTTAGTATTAGGTCTCCAGCTAATATTAGGTTTGAAAGTAGTAAGTCCACTGCAATGAGTCAAATGACGTGAGGGCAGGGAATAAACACTATGTTGAACATTTTATTTCATTGCTGATGGTCACACCTTTGTGGTTCTGTTGTATCTCCCTTCCCAATCCAGTTCCCAGTGGATGAAAGGAAGACAAAAAATGGGCTTGAGGAGAAAAAAAAAGTGAATATGTTTCTATAACAGAACACTTGAAGGTGCTTTTGAAATGTGCATCAAAAGCTACAACAGCTTTCCTAAATCTAGGACCCTTGAGATTTGTTGTATTACAACTACCAGCATATGATTTGCTTGGCCTTAAGGAAAAGACAAAGTTATTGAATGGGCCATAACTATGTTGGTAGATGGATGAAGGAAGGTGCAGTTCAACACAACTGTAGGGTGCCTGGTTGTGAAGGGTGCTCTAAGATGTCATAGTACGTATCTTGGGAAGAGTGTGTAGGGATGGGGTAATATACAATAACTTTGTGTGACACGGGATTTTTAAATAGGAAGGAAACACATGGTTGGATTTACATGGAAATCAGTCTTATTTGTTTCAATGTGTGCAAATGTGTTTATGATTTCAGCCTTAATTTATTTAGTCAGGACACTACATAGAAAAAGTGCTTAATTGAGCAATGACGCAGTCAAGATCTTCCCATTGATCAGATGTGCTGCCAAGTAAAATAAATCCACTTTCCTTTAAAAAGTGCCACAGAATTAATTTTGACTTCTGAAAAACTGATTTGGGTGAAATGCAATGAAAAACCACTTCCCATATAAATGCACATGGAAAACTCTCTGAGGTTAATGAATTTTTTTTGGAAAAAAAGCTGCATAATAGTGAACAGCCACCATTTAAATGCAGTCCAAATTCCCTAATTGCCAGCTGTTTTCATCCTACTGTAGGATTTCAATGGCTTCACATCTTCAGATGGCAGCTCATTTTAAGTGGCATCTGTTTTACCTCCTCATATCTCCATCTGTCCAGCACAGTGAAATGTTTCCAGGGCAAACAAAGTGGTCGAAAAGAAGGACTGATGTAACATGATTTAACTGGGCCACATCTCAAAAAAATGGAAATTAGTCACACAACAAACAATCCTATAAAAGAAAATGAATCTATCATTTTGTGAGAGACTTCAAAAATATATATCAACAGCACAGTTCTTATACTTGCAGTGCTGTGCATGCCTGCATTATCGTAATTAATTCATTTTCAATCTACACTGCCAAACTGGGAACCACATATCTCTATGAGTCAAGTCCTCAGTACAATTATAATTCAGGGATACAGTCTGTAGATTCACAACTTATTGTAAGAAGGCCTTGATTGGGTCAGTGGCAGGATGGAAAACCACTTGTAAGCCTTTCTCCCATCAACCATCTTGAATTCCATGATGGAAGAAAATGGAATAGAAAAGTACTAATTAAATGATGAAAGAAAGCTGGAACACATACGTAATGATTAAATGACAAAAGCAGTACAATATTTCCTTTAAGCAAACTTTCTCTTCAAGTACACTATCAGTTTGTGAGTGGACATTTCCTATAGCTCCAATTTACTAGAGATGGAAAATTGGTACATTACAAAGGTGTATAACTTAGTTTGGAAGGAATCCTAGAAACAATGTTCCAGTCCAACAACATGCCAGTTTTCCCACTATTTAAATGTGAATTCACAAGGCCACTGTTCCCTCTTAAAAAACAGCATCATGTATCTTTATGACATGAGATGCCTACAGTTCAGATATAATGAGCTCAGAAGTTGTTGCAGAGTCACTAAGAAGACAACAAACCTTCAACTAAAACCATTCCCTCTAATGTTTTAATGTTTATGATGATGACGATGAAATACTTTGGTAACACAATACAATAACCATGGAATAGTATTAGGAATTATAAGCGTTAAGCCCTGTAGCGTTCACCCTTTTGTGAGGTATAAGTCATGTATTATCATGTCTATGCTAATGTGGGTTGAGAGGCGGAGTCGAGAGAGAGGTTAAAAGGCGGAGCCTCAGAGTCAGTGGGAGGCAATCAGAGTGGGAACTAGTCAGAGAGAGAAGGAACAGATACTTTTCTTCGCACTATGAAAGGGTTTTCCCAGGGTGCATTGCGCCTATAGCGCTGCCTCTTTTGTAGCGCAATTGCTGTTTGCGGAATTTCTGTACTACATAACGTTGCATAGAACGGATCCATTTCGCAAACCGAGGTACTAAGTACTGTATTTGGAATTCCAATTGAAGAAACTGTCATTTTTGCTCTGATGAGGTGATGGTCGCGTATAATCGCATGTAATTGCTACCTCCTCAGATTCCCGTGGCAGCTTATGCAATTGGAGCTCTGCATGGCCATCGAAATCAAATGCCATCACACATCATACCATTACAAAAACTGGCAATTCTGAATATTCAAGATTATTTCACCACCAAAATTCACATGGAGATTTTTATTTATTTTTTTTATAGAGAGCGAGAGCGCAGGAGAGAACGAGAACCTGTTTCAGTTCTGCTTTTGACCAAACTTTCCAGACAGGCGTATGTTCTTTTCAAAACTGATTTCTTTTGTAGACATGTAAAATATTTTTATTTGATTTGTGTTATATCTTCCCATTTCTAGAAATTTAAAAAAACAAATTAATGAAATGATCTGAAAATTATAAAAATTTTATAAGCTCTGCTTACCTGGGAGGAAGTTCAACAGAATTTAATTGGGCTTACATCAGAGTAGGCCATATAGGACTATAGTGTCAATGGTTTGCTTTCACAATCCATACCATCTGGACAAGCAATCTGTAGCCCCGTCAGATTCTGACCTTGTAATTATTTGCATGTTTCAGCACCAGAGGAAAAGCTCTCTTACCTGTTGCCTTTTCAGGATTATTACACATGAAACATTGCCAGGCTCCTGCTTCCTCGCTGTAACCAAATAAATCAAAGAACCTCACTTCTTCTAGATGTATGTGTACATGATCCAAGTCCTGGGCATGTAAAAAAAAAAAACCAAACAAAAAGCACACCTTATTTGATTGCTGTGGAACAGATTGCTCACAAAGTTCAAGTCATAGGATTAAGTACTTTCTACTGAAGGGATCTGAATGTTAACATTTATAAGCGGTTGACTCAAGCAATTCTTCTGCATGCAGTTTGTAAATATCCTCACTGCAAAGATGAGAAATGTTACCTTTTTCCAACGACAATACTCAGAATCCAGTAGTCAGTACAGCCACAATGAAATAAATCTCAAGTAAATGTCTCCCCTTAGATTGCTGTTTGTAATACTTTTAGGCTACAACCCTATACACACCTATGAGTAAGTCCTATTGACTTCAATAGAATTTACATGTGAGTAGATATGTACAGGTTCACATGGCATCTTATAGGGATGTAACAGATCAAACCCATAGATTTCCTTGGGAAAGTACAGTGGTGCCTCGCTTAACAATGTTAATTGGTTCCCAAGAAAACATTGCTATGGGAAAACATTGCTAAGTGAAACACCATTTCCCATAGGAATGCATTGAAAACCAGTTAATCCATTCCAATGGGAACGGATTACCGTCCTTAAGCGAAAATCGCCATAGGAAACATTGCTAAGCGAAACAATGTTCCCCCCATTGGAATGCATTGAAGCCTATTCAATGCATTCCAATGGTTTTGCGATGTTCCGTTTTCGCTATTTTTAAAGTGTCTTAAAATGTTCAAAAACTGTTTTAAATGCATGGAATAGTTAGTGCACCTTGTAAAACCTTTGCAAACTTAATTTGGCTTTGTTCTGACTCTTCGTTAATTTTTGGTGAATTTTCCCCCCCACTGGAATGTATTGAACTGTAGGTTTGACAGCTGTTGTAAGATCGAATCCACGTGACGGAGTGAGCTCCTGTTGCTTGTCCCAGCTCCTGCCAACCTAGCAGTTCAAAAGCATGTAAAAATATGAGTAGATAAATAGGAAACACCATGGCGGGAAGGTAATGGCATTCCGTGTCTAGTCATGATAGCCATGTGACCACGGAAACTATCTATGGACAAACGCTGGCTCTATGGCTTGGAAACAGGGATGAGTACCATCCGCTATAGTTGGACACGACTGCACAATTTGTCAAGGGGAACCTTTACCTTTAGACCCTTCTCTTAAAGAGCCCCCACAAAGGGTTACAAAACTAAACTACCCTGGTGAATAGTAGGGTACAGTTAGTATGTAGATGCATGGATTGTAATAATAATTGCATGTCATCAATTCAATTCTTGTGGCAGCCCTTTCCAGGGTTATCTAGGTACAGAGTACTCAGAAGGGCTTTACGTTTCCTTTTTCTGCAGGCGCCCTGGGACTGTGCAGCTTACCCAAGGTTTCACAGGCTGGATTTTCTTATGGGAGGCACAGTGAGGAATTGAACTCCCAATTTCTGGCTCCACAGGCAAGAACCTAACTCACTGAGATATTCAGACAGCTGTGTGGATTCTGGAGCACAGTAAATCTTAAACCAGTATCTTTAGAGGGGGTTCAGCCTATGTGCCTGCCAATATCTCCCATAAACTGGGAATTGTAGGAAAGTCAGTTACAGCAGAGAAAGAAAATTCCTTATACCAACAGGCCACAGCAGGAACAGGCTGAGACACATACTTTCTGAATGTCTATGAAACTAAGCTGTGCTAAACCTGTATTTTAGCTGTTAAACATTTCCCTTTGAAGAGAACCTCTAATCCGCAGTAAAGAAACAAAGCCTTGCTTGTCTTGTTTTTATATGTGAGATCAGGAAACTGAACACCTTTTCTCCTCACCTGCAAATGGCAAGAGACTTTCTTCTGATCTCAAGAAGACTTTTTATATTCATGAGAACTATTTTTGGGAAATAAAGCAATAGAACGAATTGTACAAAACAATTGTTGTTATGTGCGGCCAAGTCAGAACCAGCTTATAGTGACGCTGACAGGGCTTTCAAGCTAAATAAGATATTTAAGGAGTGGTTTTACCAGTTCCACTCCTCCAGTCAGCTTCCATGACTGAGTGAAGAATCGAACCCAGGGCTACTGGATCCTAGTTCATCACTCTATCCACTATACCAGCGGTCCCCGACCTTTTTCGGTCCGCGGACCGGCTGGGGAAGGCGGGGCACCCCCCGCGCTCATGTGCCTATGTGAACAAGTGCTTTCTCTCTCTCACATGGACACTCGCACACTCATGCGCTTGTGCAAACGGCGACGTGGCACTCGCATAGACGTGCTGGAGTGCGGGCGCAGGTGCAAATGGGCTGTGCAGGGGTGAGTGCATGCAGGGGGTGGGGCGGGAGGTCTGTCTTGGTGGCCTGGTCCGTGGACTGGGGGTTGGGGACCTCTGTTCTATACCACACTGGATATTATTTTATGGACTTTTAAGAATCTTAAGCATTGTTGTTTCCATCTTTTTGTGTAATTGACTAGCCTTCTGTATTTGCAGTACATTTATTTTCCTTTCCAAAGATAATATACACTATTGTGAATAGCAACATTTTGCATAAATCATTAAGACCTTAAGGGGAAAAAGGCATTGTTTCGAATTTCTCTCCCAAATCAGTGCCCTCTAAGATATCCTGCAATTCATCCAAATAACAAATTGTGAAGATATATGGGAACCTTTTCTACAATAAGATCTGTTGGCTTGCCCAATGAGAAAATGGAAAGGCTGTTCTACCTCCCACAAAGAACATATTCACAGTCCCCAACCCTATAGTCCTGAAGTACACAGTGTGCTTTCCGCACCCCCCCCAGAAGTCACAACACAAATGCTTTCCCAAATAACTGGAAAAAGTTGGTGAGTTTGTTTTACATGTAACATAGCTGACGTTCTTTGATAAATAGTCCATGAAGCAATTGACTGGAAATCTGTGAGGAAACACATACATCTGGAAACATTTTACTGACTTGCAAATTTGAATGACGCTTCACAAATATTTTTTGTGGCGGGTACACACTGGAGAGTACAACACAACATTCTTTGCAAACAAATTGTCCTCCCCTGCCCCAGATCCCACATTTCTTTGACCAATATGACTATATTTTTTTGCCCGTAACAATTATACATTTTAAAACATCTCCCACAGTAGTGGACTGAGTATATTCTCTTTGTACATATACCAGTATTTGCTAATGGTGCAAACTGAAATTACATAGGTGGAAGAAAATAAACGGCAATTTCTTCCACAACAAGGGCATTTTATTGTCAATGTGTGAATGAACATTGTGTCATTTAACAACACATGTGAAATCCCACTGAATTCAAATAGGGATTAATCCCACAGGCATGTAATGTATCACAACCTAAAGGGAAAAAAGATTTCAAAGCTGTCAGAGAGATGCATCACAGAAACTCTTGCTGTGCATGATTCATATATATGGCATAACAATCTCATTTCATATTTCTCTTCCATTCACCCTTCAAGGTATTCAGAGCATATGTTTGTCTCATCTTCCATTTTATCCGCACAACATCTATAAAAAGTTGTTCATTCTTGCTAGCTATGCTGAACCTTTTTCCCCCTCAGCATAAGTGAGACCAAGAAATAATGATTGGTGCAGGGTCACCAGGTAAACCTAATGAGTGGGAAGGGATTTGGCTGCTGGTCTCCCCAGTCCTACTCTAGACCTGTTTGATCTCACCAGGTTCCCCTTTGCTATTTTTAGTCCAGTCGTGTCCAACTCTAGGGGGTGGTGCTCATCCTGTTTTTCAAGCCGTAGAGCTCCATCGCGTGGATTCGATCTTATGACTGCTGGTCTTCTGACCCTGCAGCACAGGCTTCTGCGGTTTAGCCCGCAGTGCCAACAGTAGAACCCTATACCTGCAGAATGAGATCAGTCTTATTTCTAGAAATTATTTGTAAGGACCAAGCTACAATCATGTGGACAATACATGATTGGTTTTCTGAATAACGTATTCTTCCTTCAGCCCTCAAGAATGTGGAGCATATATGATGTGGCCCTCCCGCTGAAAAATTTGGAGACCCCTGCACTAGAGGCATGGTCTTCTCGGCTGTGGCACTGACATTACGGAACCAACTCCCAGAGGAACTTTGTCGGCCCCCTCCTTGTATTCATTTGGCAGGCAGTAAAAAACATTACTTTTCAGGGAGGGCTTTCGTATCAATCCCAGTTGAATGCCTCACCTCCAGTCTTGTCTCACTCTGAAAATTGGTTTGCAACATTAGTTATTAGTTTTCTAGACTATGTTTTCATATCTATGTTGTATTTAGGATCAAACACACCCCCATGTAATTTGTTTTAATTGCCTGTAAACTGCCCAGAATAATGCTTTGGCACTAATGAGGCATTTTAAATGAATGAATGAATGAATGAATGAATGAATGAATGAATGAATGAATGAATGAAGGAAGGAAGGAAGGAAGGAAGGAAGGAAGGAAGGAAGGAAGGAAGGAAGGAAGGAAGGAAAGTATGTTACAAAGCCTGTCCTAGCTACCCTCGTAGCTTCCACTTCCACAGATGAAGTGGAAGGGACTGGCTTATAGCAAATGCTGAAGGAAAGTTAAGCTGCTAGTACAGTTCACCTCAGTGCATGGAATGTGAGAAACCCAGAGTAGCAAAATCTTGGGCCAGCTGTGGTGGAAGTCTTTTTAGTAAGAGAGTACAGAAAGACAATAAAAGAAGAGAAGAATGCACCATTAGCCTCCCCTTTGACAGGCAATGCTACTACTTATTCCAATAAACACATCACATAATAAAATAGCAATGTCTTTGTTGGATTAAGACCCTGCTGGACCAAGTGGGTGATTTCACACCAGTTCGTTGAGCAACAGAAAACAAATGACTTTATAAAAATTATTATAACAATGATAATTGTGCACTGGGGGGCATGCGATGGTGGTGCCCATCTTTACTGAACAGATGACAGGGCACAAAACAAGCCTTTGAGCACAACTAGGTAGACACTCAGACTGATAACGCCCACCACTGCATTCCCACAAGTTCTTGGTACAAAAGCACAATGTAATAA